CGGCTCGTCGTGACCGAGAAAAATCGGTTCACCCTCCCATAAAAAGTTATCACTTCAATAAAATTGTAGAACGGTTACTTGACCATAAATGATCAGAATAAGCGAAGAAAAAAATCTGCAAAGGGCCAATTTGTTCTAAGCAAAATACCAAATCTTTGAGACCACTCTGATATCACACGGTAAAATCCCACACCAAAAGCACGATGTAGAAAAAATGTGTGCAACAGTTTGCATTTCGTTATCGCAACGCAAAGCCTGCAGGTTGCAACGTGCAGCTTTCGCGTACGCCAGTATGTATTTTTCTTTAGACTAGCGTTCTTTAGTGCGCGACTGGAACGGGACGCTCCAATCACCCACGAGAAGAGCGTAAGTGTAAAGGCACCTAATGATTTATGAAGGTCCAATCGGATAACACCCACGTTCTCCAGAACAGAAATTCTTTCTGGGCAGGATTTCTTAAAGAGGGGTCTTAAAGAATGTATTCGACATGTTTGCGACATAGAAGTTTCAGTAATTAGGTTTATTGAAACCAATAATTATTATGTAAGCATCTACAAAATAAATCACTTAGATAAGTTAAATGAATCATTTTGCATATATTATTGAAAAGGTATCAAGAAATGGAGAATAGGTTCAAGAATTTTGATGACCTAGACATTCTCGAATTGCGTAATTTTAATCCGTGCAAACACACATTTCCCGGAAAAACAATTAAAGTTTTTGATTCGTCATTATAGACAATATTTGGATATGATTTTGTTACGTTTGGAACCGCTTTGTATAATACTCAAGACATTGAGACAATACAATACATAGATGGATATTAACATTTTTGAAAAAAAGATTTTACAATGCATCTTCCAGAGAGTTAGAGTTAGTGTTGACAATTCCAGCTACTAGTGCCTCGGAAGAACATAGTTTTTTAACGCTAAATCGGATAGACTCACTTGCGAAACTCGACATATCAAGATCGTCTCTGTAGTGCTTCCCTTTTAGCAATTGAAAACAATCTTGTTGGGAAAATGTCGCAGCATCCCCGTTTCTACAACGAGATAATAGACGAGTTGGCAAAAAAATATATAAAAACTAAGTTCCATTATAAATAGGTGAGTTTTTATACATTGCTTCCCTTCTTGCAAATTTTAATGCACGTCACTGCTCCGTATTATCGAAGATGTCGGTTTACTTAAGGTGTGAATTATCGAAATCGCACCGCATTGAGTAACGATAACCGGCAGTTAGGGCTCCGATACTTAATTATGTTTAGGCTTAAACTTTAAGTAGACCACAGTTTGAATATTTTCGATACCTAGGAAACATTCCTTTACCTTAGCTCCAGGGGTATCGAAGCCAATTACACCTACATTATCAACCACTTTTAAATCTATGTGCTTCCTTGTTGTTGCAGCTGCAGCCAAATGCCTTTTGGACACTGAAATTTGAAAAATACATGTTTGAAATTATTTTTTGATCAGAGTACAAGGTACAACTGATACACATATAACCGTGTTGAACCTTCAATTAAGCCGGAGAATGCATATGAAGCTTATTAAATTAATAAAACTGACCTGTTTGCCAACATCTTAAATTGGGGTTTGCATTTTTTGATAAAGCACCAAAGAGCCTCAGACTCGCCATGCTTATTTCAGACGGGCACAAAATACTCTATGAACTATGGCAGATATACAACTAAAGGATATCAAAACGCTTCAAATGAAACCAAATAAAAATAAATGTACTTTGGACTCCTCTGCTAGTGTAAAAACTGATGAAAACAACTTTATCTTTAGCACTTGTGCTTTTGGGTGTTATTGGCTGTTTGACAACATTGTCTTCTACTAGCAAATCATCTATAATTTCCTTTTGAAATTGGCAAAAAATAAGCTTCTGAAAATGAAGTAAAAATATTATTTGGATCCTCGGATTTATCAATTTATTTAATTATAAAACTGAATAAATACAAAATATTTTATTCTTGAGGTTAATCGTTTCACAGTTGTCACATTTAGCTTAAAAAACAGGATCAAATCATAACGTTTGGTAATTAAGAGAACATAACCGAATATTTTTGAGAATTTAATTTATCCAAACTTATATATAATATATATGTATTTAACTTCATCCTAGTAACATTTTTTACTATAACTATGGAAAGCTCGCAAGGTGAGCTGGGCCCTGTCAATATGGACGAATTAGTGAGAAGGCAGCGCCAAGAAAAAAAAGACTTGCAGAATAAAACCCAGTCAATGAAGAAAAGTATTCCCAAAGGTGACAAAAAGAAGAAAAAAACCGTTTCGGAGGAAATAGCAAAATTAGAAAAAGACCTGGATGACAAACATGCTCAAGAACTAGGTGAGTTTAAGCAAATGAGTTTAATTAAAAATGAACAAGTCACTACCAATGAGCCCGAACTGAATACAGAAGACCACAGCAATCAGGAAGCTGAAACAGTGCTACCAAAAATATCCAGAGCACAAAAAAGACGTAACAAGAAAGATACTGAAGCGAGAGAACGTGAAAGATATATTTCCGAAGAGGCCGAGAAAAATAGAGATGGAGTTCGATCTATTGAAATGAATTCTATAAAAAAATCCCTTGGGGATATAAATCTTCAAATATTTAATATTAACGCTAATGGAAACTGCTTATATTTAGCTGTAAAACATCAACTCCAAACCTTAGGCAAGCCTTCATATTCAGTGCCTGAATTACGGCAAAAAACAGCCAATTATATGCTCACAAATAAAGAAGACTTCTTACCATTTATGTGTAACGAAGATGATGAGTTTGAAACCGTCAGTGAAGAGGCATTTGAGAGCTATTGCAAAGAAGTGGAAACAACCAAAGTCTGGGGTGGACAATTAGAACTTAAAGCATTGTCCAACATATTATCCTGTCCCATTAAAGTGATACAAGCCACTGGTCCACCTACTATTCAAGGAGAAAACTTCGAAGGCCCAGAGCTTATTTTGACTTATCACAGACATTTATACAAATTAGGAGAACATTACAATTCTACTTTGCCTTTAGAACAAGACGCTGACTCTTCGTGATGACTAGGACGGATCCTTCTATCTTTATTTCATGTGTTTCATTAGTATGTTCACAGTTGGAACATCGCAAATGGAAGTCCCATTCGGTGTTACAATTCTTATTATTGTAAAAAATCAATAAAGTTATCCTTAAGTTTTACCGAGTTGAATGCATGCGTTTGTTTGTGTAACGTTTTTTGGTTTTTACGATAAGTATGAAATATACGAAAACTATTCAAAAACATTTTGAGGTTTTAAACATTCTAAGCCCACCAGAACATAATAATCAAATCCCAACTCAGGTTTTAGACCTATTTAAATGCGTGTGTTCTTACAAGTGTGTACTAAGTTTATCGGAATAAGCTCGATGTTTCAAAGATTGTGTATGTTTAAAAAATAATGATACACCGCGAATTTCTACTTTAAAATGATTCATTTAGTTCTAATACTTATTATTTGGACAGACACCTGAAAAGTATCAGTCACTATAACTCGAGATCTATTTTCTCATACTTTGATTAGAAATTCGTAAACTCCAAAAAGACAGAAATAAGATATGAAAATGTTTGGGGTACTGAAAATCAAGAGCAACCTGTATCTCAGAAACGGTAGAACGTCTTAATTTCCAACGGCATAAAAGCAAAAACATGAAAATTTAAAACGTTAAAACAGGGAATTATATCGGAAAGGGTGAAGAGTGTACCGAGGCCTATTTTTTGCTCCACGGGGTCAAGCGAAATTGCGTACTTCTAAAGAGATAAATCCTTATTTAATGGGTTAAGGAGCTTCTGAAACGTGAAATATTTTTTCTTTTTTTACATTTGACCTGGATGCCTTACCTACCGCTCAGATCCTCAAATTATAATATATTTTCTCAGTAGTATATATATAATTTTATTAAAAATTCTTGCGAAAATTTGTGTTAGCCACATAAAGAAAGCTAAAACGTATTTCTTGGGAAATCCTAGTTAATGTACGTTCTTAATGAACTCTGAACGCTAGAAGAGACTATACAAGGTGGCTTTTCATGAATGAGTCTTAAAATATTACTGATTATTCAATTATAGCCAATAATAGTTATCCAGGCCAAAGTGCGAACGATAACCGCTTCCGACAACTACTGTAAATTATTACTAATTTAATTGCTTTTATTATCATGTGTCTAATAAAATTACTATAACTTTGTATGTTTCTCTTTCAAATACTTGCATTATCAAAACATATTGTTTGTTGAATATTTTCTATTGAAAAAAAATGGAGTCGTTTGGATTGTAAATCAGCTTCAAGACATATAGGGTAAAATTATATTCAATGCAGTTTGAAGCCCCACACCATGATCTTTTATTAAAATATTTAATAAAAAAATTACATTTCACATGTTTCTTCAAAATATATTCTTCGTTCTCGAAAACTGGCCAAAAACACAAAATTTGATAAATATTGGAGAAAAATCTGTATTTTTAAACTAGTGAGTTTTGAAGCCGCCGTAAAATGGATTTTCTTTGTGACGTTTCGAAAACTGACGAACTGCTCCGATTCACTAGCAAATGTACTCAAAATAATTTTCCTTTCAAATAATGGATAATCCTCGTTTCACATTTTATTCAAAAGTATAGAACGTATATAAATCATACTGTATGAACTCTACTTTCAGAACTTTCTGATTCTCTTGCTTTAAAAGCAAAATAAATTAATACTTTTAATTATCAGAAGATAATCATGTTGACAAAATTTTCTCCGTAAATTCTTTTAAATTTACACAAAGTAAATTTTTTACTTTAAAATCCTGATTAATCCTAAATTAAAATGGATTGTCCAAGTAATTGATAGTAAATGATAAAATAATTTATTTTGTTAGTAGGAAGTCTCAGTAAAATTCGTGATGTAATTCAATTCTGATAATAGAAATAAATTTGTCTTTGAGGTAGGTCTAATAAACGATTCACGCAGTATACTCTATAATAAATACGGTTGTTTATTGTATGTCGACGTTAACAACTGTTAAATTAATCAGTTATTTCATAAACCTGTTTACAAAAAATATAATATTTTACTTCATTTATCGACTGAGATACTATTTTCAGTACCATTTTCTTCTTTATTTTTATTTGGATCATCTGGCTTCATGGCGGGGAACAACAACACTTCCTAAAATTAAATTTGCATTGAACATTTTTAAATTCATATTCATACTCACTTGGATCTAATTTAATAAAATTTATCTACTATTATTTGCGCAGTTAAACAGAATTTGTATATCCTTTTGTTGTATTGCATTGATTGCATCATATAAAACTGTGTATGTGCTACATTTTACGACAATAACAACAGTAGTTTCTTATGTTATATGCTCATATTTCGCAATCTTATGACAAAATCCAACATTCTATTAAACATTACAAGTGAGATTATCTTTAGATTTAACTGATTTGTTATTATTAATACATCTATTTTTTTTGTTTCACTATTTAGCTGTTATTAAAATATCCAAAAGTGAATTCAGAATTACATTTTTTATAGTTTAATTTCTCGAAAATATGCATTAGCTCTTGATGCAAGTTTAACTTTGCTATTAAGAAATACTTTGAAGTAGTTCAATGGCCATTTGGTAGCCTAGTAGCGTATAAACTACTGTAAAACTTGCCTAAAGTTAGAAAACTTTTTTATGTGAAAAATTGGGATTTTTATAATTTTTTTCTTGAACAACGATGCAGATATTTGTCGATCGAGTTAAATATATCAGTGTTAAGTAACTATTATTAGCCAGTTTTTAAAAATGATGCTATTCAAAACTATGTCGAAAGTGCGTAAAGTTTACATTTCTTTGGGAGAATCTAAATCAGTCAAAGATTTTACATAATAGACGAGCGGAATCAATTAATTGTTTGAACGTTAAATGTACGTTTAAATAAGCGAACGTTATCGAAGAAATCGAATGAAATCTGAAGTTGCGAAATGATGTGATGTTTAAGCCGTTCTGTAAGTATTTCTACAATTGCTTTGACAAGTAAATTTTGAACCATTGAATGGATGAAAATTACTTTGTCTGACTAATAAATAAAGCAACAGGTAGTTACCTAAAGCTAATGAGAAAAATATGAATGACGGGTGGGAATTTGCCGTCATAAATTTATCACTTAGCATAATACATTTAGCATTATTGAATACAAGCACTTGTCCCACTACTAAAATTTCAGTTGCGAATTTAATTCCTGTTGAAAAGAATTCATACGATTTTATAAGTTGATATATAAATTCCTGCTCATAAATATCTCGAAGGTCTTAGAAGTGACCATTTCGTGATTACCTTAATATTGTTGTTGTCTGTTAGAAACATTGTCAGCCTGTCAATGCCCAAACCCCAGCCTCCAGTTGGCGGTAATCCGTACTCCAGAGCTGTGCAGAAATTCTCATCGACCAATTGAGCTTCATCATCTCCAGCTGCTTTATCAGCAGCTTGCTGTTCAAACCTTTGCCTTTGGACTGCGGGGTCATTCAGTTCAGTGTAAGCATTGCAAATTTCTTTCTTCATGACAAATAGTTCAAATCTTTCTGTGAGTCCAGGTATAGACCTAAAATTATAGATCAGATTGTTTCATCACCTTTGTGCAAGAAAACATGGCTGAGTAATAGTTTATACAAATCATGGGAATCCGCTGTATATGTCGTTAGTTGCTTTGAGCAACGTTTGTATATTATTTCCTACGTTCCCCTTGATATAGACATTTTTTTTCGAATAATCGGCAATCGATATAATTAATATTGATTTACCAAATTTTCTGCACATTAAATATATCGAACTACTTTAATTGCTGATCCAAGTTTATATCTGGATTAAATTAATAGCAATCGTTTTAAAACGCCCCATAAATAGTAGGTTGAGCTAATTACCCATTACAGTAATTATCAATAGTATGTTTGAACGAATTTACTATTAGCATACATTTAGAAAATCAGATATTTACCTATGCCATTTGGCCAATGGACTCATGATTTGAGGATGCTCCATTATGAAGGTCGGATTGATGCATTTTTCCTCTATAAATTCACCAACTAACTTATCCAACAGTCTTGCAGTCGTTCTGGGTGGAGCACAATCCACGTTATGCTTAATACACAAATCGTCCAGGAATTTAGTTGTTGTCGGCGAGTAAAATTCGGTTGCAGGGGGGAATTTCACATTAAGAGCAGCCTCTAAAGCTGGCACCATTGGGATTCGTTTAAATGGAGGTGTAAAATCAATCTCATACTCTTCCCCTTCGGGGCCATCGGGATGATATTTAACCTGCAATATTAAATTAACGCAGTTAAATCTAGGTTTCGAAATTCGATAATCCTTACCTTGTGTGTCCCATGAATATGATAGACCATAGTAGACAGCAAACTTTCAGTAATCGCAATTAAGTCCTGATAATCAGCATACGCCATATAAAATTCACATGTCGTGAACTCAGGATTGTGAGTCAAGTCGATTCCTTCATTTCGAAATTGTTTTCCAATTTCATAAACTCTATCAAACCCTCCTACCACCAACATCTTGTGATAGAGTTCGGGAGCAATGCGCATAAACAGGTCCATATTAAGATCATTGTGATGTGTTACAAACGGTTTTGCAGTAGCGCCCCCGGCAATCATGTTCATCATTGGGGTTTCAATTTCCAAAAATCCTTGCTCATCAAAGAACTTTCTTATATAAGCAATTATTTTGGCTCTAGTTTGGAAAATGAACCGTATATTGTTATTCAAAATCAGATCTAAGTACCTTTGCCTAAATCTAGTCTCTTTATCTTTTAAGCCATAATACAAGTGTGGGAGCATATGCAAACAAGGAGACAATAAAGTTAACTTTAGGGGAATCACTGATAGTTCACCTTTCTTGGTTCTAGTTGGAACCCCTCTTACACCTATGATATCACCCCTTTTAATTTTATCCGAGTCTTCTTCGAACTCAGATTCTTTTTCATATTGCTTAGCAGTAGCCATAATTTGCAGTTTTGTGCCTTCGCCTCTCAAATCGTAAAATATTAATTTTGGACCAGAAGCTCTGATAGCGTGCACTCTGCCAGCAACACTGAGTATCTCACTTTCAAGCACTTCATTATCTTTTAAGTAGGAATACTGTTCAATAAATCCCTCTAGGGATATGGTAACATGATACTTATGAGGGTATGGATGATTTGAACCTCCTAATTTCTTTAAATTCTCTACAGCGGATGTTCTCAATTTAAAATACTCATTTGGGCTAATATCTTCTTCTGTAACTTTGGGGGCCACCTGTGCTTTGGGGGCCACTGCAGGCAAAGCGGCAGCTTTTTCTAGTTTTTCCTTGGCCTTTTGCTCAGCCTTCAGTCTCCTTTTCAGCTCACTAAAAAAATGTATGAAACTAATTAGTCAAAACCGGCAGGGAGTGAAACCTACCGTTTAGCAATGTCGCGCAAAGCTGAGGTAGTCGAAAACTGCATTCTCAAAAAGTGCAATCTTTGCAACATTTTAATGTTTATGTAAGAAATAATAAACTGTTCAAAATGAGAAGGCGAATACGGGACTTACTTTTTAGAAAGCTTGTCGTCTCCTGCTTCGGCCATAGCACTTAAATATGTGGTATATGTTATTAACTAACAACTGTTTTATTAATAAAATAACCTAACAATTCTACCACGTTGGTGAGAATTTTACTTCACTGTATTTTCTGTATTCCACATTCCACGTATCATGTGCGTATCATATACAAGATAAATGTCAAATGTTACTCGCACAGGTTACTCGTGTGGTGTGGTTTATAATTTAGCCGCCAGTGAGCGTTTGGATCAAGAATTTACTTTTGAACTCGTTTACTTTTTGATTAACTACTAATTAATTACTTAATAAGAATATGGATAATTTAATATTTTAGGTTTTTGAAGGAAAAAAACTCAGATATAAATTACATCAAATGACAACATCAATTTATGGATAGAGTTCGCGTTTAAAATTTGTCTCGCCCTGTAAATAATTCTTTTACCAGCAAATTTTCTTAGTGCTCTTTCAGGGCAAAGTGCGTTTTTCATCACATTATACTAGTGGAAAATGCACTACTTTTCTGAAGAAAACAGAAAACGCCATGACGTCTGCCCTCTCTATCACAGCGACGACACAGAAACGTAATTTCAAAATGTTCGCGTCAAAATCTATATTTTGTTTATTCTTGGTTTTTCTTAGACACAAAATATGGGATGGTTTTTATAATTTTCGGTAACGTTTTTAGTTTCTAATAGTTATGATTAGTATTGGTTACATATATTTTTTCAAATACTATCAAGCATCTATCACAGAAAAATCCGGAATTTACCTACCGATATTTTTTCCTTATACCTAGTAGATTATACAGGGTACTTACACTGCCATTTTTACCAGTGGCGCCGTCCCATTATAGCATATAATATTTTTGGATCATTTAACAGATGTTCACCTAAATTAAATCATTTATGCGCAAAAAAAATTGAATACGGAAAAATTAGTTTTTGGCTTATTTTGACCCCCATCCCCATTTAATCATTTCCAGTGTTCTCGTGTTTAAATTTGATTGTTTATTCTTCTTTCTTAAAGTTGAAACCTCAACAACATGTTTCCCCTGCTCTTTGACTAATAGAATTTTTTTCTTAAAAAAAGTTATTTGCCTTTAAGAAAAGTGTGTTTTAAGAATATATTATTATAACTAACTAAGACAAGTTCTATATTGTTGAGGCGGATTCATTTTTTTGCAAAACTTCTTTTTGGGTATTTTGCCTCAAAAATTTTTGTCTTTAAAAAAGACAGAATTTCCTCACGTCTTTTATTTATTTATTGCGAAATAGGAGCACTATTTATCAATCTGTAATAAAATACGTGAGGAAATTCTGTCTTTTTTGAAGACAAAAATTTTTGAGGCTAAATACCCAAAAATAAGTTTTGTAAAAAAATAACAAAGACAACTTAACTAAGGAGACTAGAGAGACTAGGGAGAGGGAGAACTTTGTCTTGGAGAACTTACTTGCCTGTGGTTTTAACGATCTGGCAACACTGTTAAATACGACATTTGACAACTTAGACACTCGATTTCATGCTGCAATCAGATCAGTTTCAGATCAGTTTCAGATTTCAGATCCACAGATTACAGAGTATAGATTGGACAGTTTTGCTTTCCCGCCAAAATGATTTTGCTAAATGCAACCACTGAGAGGCGTCGTCCAAAAATCCAGAGGATCAGCTGATTGTTTGCATGCGTTTGTTTTGTACATATGCCCATAAGAGGACTCTGAACATACAGTATTTTACAGTTAAGATTATTCCATCAATTTTCAATCTTTCAGTCTATCAATGTTTTTAATTTGCATCATAAGCATTTTCAACTAGTTTGATAACTGTGATATTTATCTTTGTTTTACAATAATGGAGCATAACGTGGCTCGGAGAATGACTAAGTGTTGTGTTCGGAATTCTGTGATCTCTAGATAACTGTGAAGTATATTTGAGTTTTACAACAACTGAATATAAGGTAGCCAGATACCAGCCGCTTCCAGTGTTGTGT